CTGTGTTTGGGAAAAAATAGCTAATTCCTTCAATCTACCTGTGTTTTGCTGCCCCTTATCCTACTCCCCAACCTTCCTGGTCTCCATTCTATGAGACTGACTTTTTAGTTGCCACAAACGAGTGAGAACATGTGGTCTTTGTCTTTCTTTGTTGGATTATTTCACTTAACATAATGAATGACCTCCAGTTTCCTCCACATTCCTGCAAATTATAGGATTTGATTATTTTATGACTAATATTCCATTGTGTATATACCACATTTTCCTTTTCCATTCATCCATTGATGGACATCGTGGTTGATTCCATACCTTACCTATTGTGAATAGTGCTGCGTAAATATGGGAGTGCAAGAATCTAGTATGATGATTTTATCCCTTTAGACTTATGAGGAGCATTTTGTTTTTACTGATATTTTAAAGCTTCTAATATACTAAAGTCTTAATATATTTGTCACAAACAGCATAAATTTTCTCTTCAGTTTATCAGTTGTGTTTTAGCTTTGCTTATATTCCCCCATTCCAAAACAACATTTATAATTTGTTTAAGTCATCAAATTTACTAAACCTTTTATTTATTAGTTTTTGAAGGTTCTTCCATATTCTCAGAGTATATGCTCAAATATATATATATATATATATATGACTTGATTATTTTCTGACTAATATTCCATTGTATATATACCACATTTTCCTTATAATATATATTTTAGTATTTTCTAGATTTTATTTTTATTTAAGTATCTGCTCAATCTCAAAATTTTCTGATATAAGAAATAGGGTATAAACTTTATCTCTCATCCTGAAGAAAAATCAACTTAAAATGGATCAAAGACTTAGGAATTAGATCAGAAACTACCCAACTCCTAGAATAAAACGTAGGATCAACACTTCAGTATTTAGGCACAAGCAATGAGTTTCTTAGAGATGGAAATAAATTTAAAACTTTCTGCACAGCAAAGGAAACCATTAGGAAAATGAAGAGAGAACCTACAGAATGGGAGAAAATCTTGGCTAGCTACTCTTCTGACAGATGATTAATAGTTAGAATATATAAAGAACTCAAAAAACTTTACACCAAAAATGAGATAACCCAATTAATAAATGCACAAATAAATTAAAACAATACTTCTTAAAAGAAGAAATACAAATGGCTAACAAAAATATGAAAAAATGTTCAACATCATTAGCAATTAGGGAAATGAAAATCAAAACTACACTAAAATTTCATCTCCTGCCAGTAAGAATGTTAGTCATCAAGAAGACAAGTAATAATAAATGCTGGAGAGGATGTGGAGACAAAGGAACACTTTTGCACTATTGATGGGATGGCAAATTAGTACCACCACTACGGGTAATCAGTCTGGAGGCTCCTCAAAGGCTAGGAATGGATCCACTATATGACGCAGCTATACCACTTCTCAGAATTTCTCCTGAATAATTAAAAGCATTGTACTATAGTGATACATACATACCCATATTTATAGCCGAGTTCTCAGTAGGCAAACTATGAAACCAACCTCGGTGTCCAACAACAGATGAATGGACAAGAAAACATGGTATATATACACAATGGAGTTTTATTCAGCTACAAAGAAAAACAAAAACATGCCATTTGCAGGAAAATGGATGGAAGTAGAAACCATTATGTTAAGCAAAATGAGTCAAAGTCAGAAGGTCTAGGGATGTACGTTTTCTCTCATTTGTGGGAACTACAGAGGAAAAAGGAAAAGAAAGTTGGGGGCAGATCTCATGGAAATCAAAGAAAGATCAGTAGAGGAAAGAAACCAAGAGGTGGGAGGTGGGAAGGGAGGGGTAAATGCTGGGGAATGAAATTGGCCAAATTATATTGTTACATTTTGTGCGTGTACAAACACGTAAAAACAAGTCTCATTATTATGTACAATAATAATACACCAATAAAAATGTAGGAAAATTTTTAAAAATATAGGGTATAGAGTTAGATTTAGTTATTTTTTATCCAGAAGGCCAATAGGTTTTCTAAAATATGATTTTAGCTGATGTTTAAGATGATCATAGACAAGAGTCCTAGGAAACAATGAACAAAGAGAAACTTGTGCAACAAAGGGAAAGATGTGATTTCCCACCTTAGCCTAAGTATTAGCTATCTGAATAATCTGCAACAAGTCTTTCAACCCACATAAACCTCAATTTCCTAATTTTTAAAACTAAGTTGCTGGAATAGATACTTCCTAAAAATATTCACTGCTCCAATTCCATGTTTGATTCTGTTTTTTTCTAAGTCTATAATTTGAGAGACTACCTAAAAAGAAAAGCTAGAATATAGCTTAAACAATCTATTTTGCTTAGATTCAGTGATAATTTTCCATTCCTTAGAATAATCACTCATTTCATTAAGGATGCATCATTTCTCATGTTGTTCCAGCCCGGAATGTGCATTGCTAAGGGACCCGGACGAGATATGATTGACAGCACACAAATTATTGGGCGGACTATTTACCAGAGAGCAAAGGTAAGCCATGGGCCCAGCTCCTTGTGTCTGCATTTAGAATTGTTCTTTTAAGTCCACTGACATTATTTATTAGGAGGTCGATAATCACAAGGAAGACAGCAAGAACTCTGGCTGCGCCAGGAAGTCTGGAAGATGTCAGTTTGGAAGGTTGTCTTCGTGCACCACACAGGAACTGTCTCTGCCTGATTGGGTCAGATGTTTTATAAGAAGTACATCTAAAACCAATTAATCAGGAAAACATTTTATTTCAGAATATTTCGAAAGCCAGAGTGCTTGCCTCAGACAGAGGAGATAGATTGATTGTAAGCTGTTCAATTACTCTGAATTCACCTAGGACCAGCCCCATTTAAATTCTCGGAATTCTTTCAAGTCTTTGCCTGCCCAAAGTCATCGTACCATTTCTGAACTTGTCCTTTGGTGACAAAGCTGAGTGGCACAGCTCTTACAGTTTGGATTCCAATTAGTTCCTCCTTTTCCTTGATAGAGCAAAGGCATGCCATCTTTATTTTTTTTCTTTCTTTATATTTTAAACGCTTCATGATGAAGAACAGAATCTGGTCTGAAGTGAGATCACTATGCATTATTTTATCCTCCTCCCTCTCCTGAATTTTATCGTCCTTTTGGTCCCCATGTTTTGAATCAGTTTCTATGGAGACAGCTTTCTGAGGAAAGAAGAAAGGATAACCCCTCAACTGACATGGACCCAATAGAGAGAATGAAGGCCATTTGTTTTTATAGCTTATTCATACTTTTGGGTGTGTGCATGCTCCTGCAGGTGCACATGTTGGTATGTGTAAATTTTTCATTCCCAGAGTTCTAAAAAGTTTCAGGAGCAATTAAGAAAGAACAAAAGCATCTTTAAAAAAACATCACACACAAAATTGGTAGCAGCAGCCAGCTTAATTGCTGCCGTTTCTTTTTAATCACTGTGGAATTATCAGTGGATTATTCTAAATTAACATATTCTATTTAGGGGGTGTGCCCCGACACACTTTGGTGTCAGAAATTTTGTTACCATCCTGGGCCTGGGAGCCATAGAGATTTGGCCCACATTCCAGATTCTCTTCTCCGCAAGGCACGCTTGCCTCTTAATTAGGAGAGGCAGGCTGCAGCAGAGCTCCCAAGCACTTACCTGAAAGTTCACCTGTGGCTGTTGGAAAGGGGTGGGACAGAGTGGAAATGTCTAGGTCCAAGAACAGGGAACTTGTGCTGAAGCAGGATTTGCTTGTATTTTATAATACAAATGAACAAACACAAGCATTTCCAAATACGTTTTGACTTATACTTCCCATGACTGTAAAAGCATGCTGCATTGACCATATTAAAACAAAACAAAACAAAACAAAATCACCAGAGGATAGAATGTGGGTGGCAGAATTGATGCAAATGAAGTGGGACTTGGGGGTCTTTCAAGCCACCACTCGGCACCTGAACTCCTGGAGGACCTGAGGATCCTGAGAAGGATGAACCCACAAGGATACAGCCTGAGGAGGATACATTTCTCATTCCAGCAAAGAAAGTATTTAGGCCCATCTAGTCCTAATCTTAAATTTTCTTGACTGTCTTTCAAATGTGGCCCTTAGTGCCCAGGCCTGTATCATTAGAATTTTGTATTTGTGAGGAGTACACACAGGTCCACCATCTTGGAGCTTTTAAGCTTCTAGGAAGCAATTCAGTTTGACAGAACCACCCCGGTAGTGGCTATTTCTAAGCATACAGCTAAACAAAAGTAACTCATGGGTAAGAGTTGCTTCTCCAATTTGGTGCTTACTGGGTTCTGTTGGAACCATTCACCTTTGCTGTTTGGCTTGGGACAGTAAGCTGTGTGGTTCTTCTAGGAACTGTATGCCTCTGCCTCCCAGGAGGTGACTGGGCCACTGGCTTCGGCTCACCAGTGGGTGAATATGACAGATGTGACCGTCTGGCTCAATTCCACACACACTGTAAGTATCGCTGACTCACACTGACGATGCCCCAAGGGCAAAAGGCTAGGGTGATCTAATTATTTACTTGCAGCTTAACTTCAATTTCTTTCTTTCTTTCTTTTTTGAAAACTTTCCTTTAGGCAAAAACGTGTAAACCAGCATTGGGCTACAGTTTTGCGGCCGGCACAATTGATGGAGTTGGAGGCCTCAATATTACACAGGGTGAGGTGAAGCTGGACAAAAATCTGTGTCCCGGGTTCTGAAGCTTCTGTGTGGGGCTTGGGATAAACCACACAGCTTTGCTATCTTGTTTGATTCTGTATCTTTGCTAATAAGGTTTAATAGGAGCCAGTACATATGCTACTTTTTTTGTTTTAGTACATTGATATATTGTATATTCATCAATTCAGGATACTTAGGTCATCCACCATCTCAAACAAATGTCATTTCTTTGGGATGGCAACATTCAGGATCTTTTAGTTATTCTTTTAGTTTCATTTTTTATTTGTTCTTTTTAGATATACAGGACAGTAGAGTCAGTATATTTTGACATATTTATACAAACATGGAGTATATCTTATTCTAATTGGGATCCCAGTCTTGTGGTTTTCTAGTTATTTGAATTATACACTACGATGTTGTGATCACTCTTCTGTGTAATAGTGCATTAGGAGTATTTTCTCCTATCAGGCTGTGACCTTGGACCTGTGAGGCGGTCTTTCCATATCTCCATACCTCCCTCCTGCCATGGCCTCCAGTAACCACTGCAACCTCCAGTAACCTCTAAGCTCAGCTTTTTAAAATCCCACAGATGAGTGAAATCATGTGGTGTTTATCTTTCTGTGCCTGGCTTAACATTATTATGTCCAGGTCTATCCATGTTGCTGCAAATGACAGGATTTCATTCTTTTGTATTGCTGAAGAGTACTCCATTGTGTATATGTATCACATTCTTTATTCATTCGTCTCTTGGTGGACTCTTGTTTGATTCTGTATCTTTGCTATTATGAATAGTGCTGCAATAAACCTGGGAGTGAGTGCACAGGAAAAATTTTTAATTGGGGCGAGGCTGGGAAAGAAGTAAGAGAGTCTGGAGGGGAATTGTCATTCAACAATGTGAACTTTCCACAATGTGAATTGGTTCTTCCATATTTTATTTTAGTGTTTCCCTGATTTTATTGTAACCAGTATGCCTCACAACAGAGGCCTTTTAGAAGCCCAAAGCATATGGTCTCAGGTCCTCTTCCTAGATTAAAATATTTAAATTTGTTTTTTTCAGGTCTTTATTTTTTTATTCTCTATTTTTATTGGTGCATTATGGTTGTACATAATAGTGGGATTCATTGTTACATATTTGTACAATGGACAAAATATAACATTATGATTTGGTTAATATCATTCTCCAGTGTTTCCCCATCTCCTTATCTTCCTCCCTCCCTCTGGTCTCTTTCTGCTACTCTACTGATCTACCTTTGAGTTCCAAAAATTTATGAAATATTATTTTAGCTCTTCCAATTTTATCTAGGCTATCAGTATAATAATATGCATCGTAAAGGCAATAAAATGGAAAATATTGTAGTGTATTACGTACACACAACATTGTGGCTTATTTCATTTTTCTCTTAATACACAGACACACATACATCATATATATATATATATATACATATATCTCCATTAATTTAAAAAAATTAGTTAATATAGTTTAGACTTGACATTCTTGACATCTTATTTCCTGGGAATCATTCATCCAGTTTGATTTAATATTTTACTAAAATTAGTTTTTAAATAACAGACTTATTGAGAGATGATTCACATGCCATACAATTCATCCATTTAAAGTATACAATTCAATGATTTTTAATATATTCACAAATATATACACCCATCACCATAGTCGATTTTAGAATATTTTCTTTAGTTTGTTTGTGGTACTAGGGGTTAAAACCAGGGCCTTGTATTTGCTAGATAAGCTTTCTCCCACCAAGCCACATCCTCACCCAATTTTAGAACATTTTCATCACCTCAGAACAAACTGCACACTTCAGCGATCCTACTCTCTCACCCCCATCTTCCCCCATACCTAAACAACCACTGATCTTTCTGTCTCTGTATTTTCCTATTTCATATAAATGGGATTACATAATACAACACTTTTTCATGACTTCTTTCATGTAGCATTGTGTTTTCAAGTTTCATCTATGTTGTAGCATGTACTTCATTCCTTTTTATGGCTAAATGATACTCCACTATGTCAATGTGCCAGATATTTGTACATTGATCAGTTGATGGAAAATTGGGTTGTTCCAATTTTTGGCTATTATGAATAATGCTTCAATGAAAATTCACATACAAGTTTTTGTGTGGGTATATGTTTTCATTTTTCCTTCTTGGATACATATGTAGGAGTGAAATTTCTGAATTATACAATAACTTTATATTTAATATATGAGAAGCTGCTAGATTACATCTAAATTGGTTGCATTGTTTTACATTTATTTCTGATTTTATTTGAGCCAGTATATTGTTTTACATTTATTCTAGCAGTGTATAGAATTCTAACTTTTCTACATCTTGGCCAGTACTTGTTTTCTGACTTACTGATTTCACCTTGTTTAGTGGGTATGGGATGTTATCTCATTGTGCTTTTGATTTTCACCTTTTCATGTACTTGCTCATTTTTACCTCTTCCTTGGAGAAATGTCTATTAATTTTTTTTCTCATTTTTAAGTTTTATGGTGTGTATTTCTGTATGTGTGTGTGTGTGTGTGTATGTGTGTTAGATGTTTGGGGATTCAAGAGAGATTCTTTCAGAGACCATACATCAGACAACTGGTATTGTAAGTTGGGTAGTCATTTTTATTTTTTAAAATAGGAAAGAGATGATTTAGTTCACTGCTCTACCATTGATTGTATAAAATTGTTTTTATTTACAACACAAATAAGCAAGGTTAATATACTCAAAAATTTGAGGGTTTTTAACAAAATATATTCCTTTATTCTCTAGTTTAAATTCAGGATCTAACTAACGGCTCATTATATGATGGACGGGGGGTTTGACTTTTCTGATACTCAGACTGCCAGAAATAATTGAATAACCAAATCTATATAATGGCTTTTTTGTTTCAGAGGGTTAGTTAAGGGATCATATTAATCAGAATATTTCTAATAGGGAAAACAGAAGGGGATCCGTTTTGGGACACCATTCGGGACCAGCTCTTCGGCAAGCCATCGGAAGAAATTAAAGAATGCCATAAACCAAAGCCAGTCCTTCTTCACACTGGAGAGGTAATACTTTTTGATTATAATAGTGAAATTCATATTTTGTTATTTTTAGATTTATGAATTGTCAGATAACAAATGACAAATATCCACTGACATAGGAGATAACATTTAGATTTCACACATAAAATTTTGATATTAAAATATGAATGCTGTAAGTCTGAGGACCTCAGGTCATGATATTAAATATACTGAGTTACCTTATTGCACTCATGATAAATAAATGAAAAAAGACAGTGGACAGGAAGAATAAGATTAACACTTACCTTATTCATTTATGTTGGCTCCAGGAAGCCAGTCTGCACAGAATTCTCGGTAGAGGAAAGTATCTAGGTCAAACAAAAGGACATGTCCACGTCCCAGTTATTTCACACTTCAGACAACACTATTAACTAAAAGCAAGTATCTTTTAACACTCTTTTGGAACATATATTTTTTACATTCTAAATATGAAAAGACTGTTCTAGTATTCATAGAAACATGGATTATCAAGGTGGAAATATTCTTTAAAACAGATTTTTTTTCTAATCAATTAAAATTCTTAGAGAGGAGGGAGGAAAGGTGGAAATGGAATGATAGACTATACACTAATATGTATTTGAAAAAAGGGTAGCTTCTCTTGTCAAAATCTTGGAAAATAAGACGCAAGACTTAGGAACTGTAAACTTGAAGTGCTGTTACAGTGAAGACAAATTGTCACATCCAACTACCAACAAATGGCATTCTCCATTCATGGGTTTAGGACAGTCACTCACAATACCCTAGTATATTTGTGGGACACTATGATTTCATGACACATCTACCAAAAACTTCATTGTTAAGTCCAGGTAACTGTAGCGTTAGCATTTGAGATTCTTACTTTCTATGGTCAAAAGATGGGTGGTCAGAAAATTTCCTTTACTATAGTGTTTCAATGTTTTAAGTGAGTTTTGGATTTTTATCCCATCAAAGAATTATGATCAGGACATAAATATCCATGTAATATATCTCGTACTACATCATAAATTGAAAATAATTCTTTGATGGGATAAAAATCCAAAACTCACTTGAAACACTATAGTAAAGGAAATTTTCTGACCACCCATCTTTTGACCATAGAAAGAATAATATACCGAACATGTTTTTTTTGTTGTTTGTTTGTTTTGGATTCTCAGCTATCAAAACCTCATCCTTGGCATCCAGATATTGTTGATGTTCAGATTATTACTCTTGGGTCCTTGGCTATAACTGCTATCCCTGGGGAGTTTACGTAAGTGTTTTCATTTAGTTAGAAATGTGTTTATTGTGTGTTTCTGTTGGAATTAATTCCTATGGGAAGACAGTTCTGTATTAATCTCTTGATGTCACTCTTGACTGTGTTTGGCAACAGTGACAAATATTTCTACCTGCTTTTGGTGGGGCCTCTTTAGAATAAATCTGTGCCTATTAGTGGTGGTTCACCTGAAATAATCATAAAAATGTATGAACTTATCATTTTAAAGTAAAGTAACCTTGAAATAATATGAAAATACAGTACTTGAAACAATCAATGTAGGTGTTAAAAACATGTAAGAATGCTTTAGACCTACTTCCTATATAATCTTTCCTATCTCAGTAAGTGGCACTTTTTGAAAACCCAGTTGCTCACACCTTATGTCTCAGAGCCCATCTCTGAATTTTCTTTTTCTCTTTGAATCCTTCAATAAATTCTGTGCATTCTATACAACCCTTTCTATCATTTCCCTCTGGGCTACTACTATCTCCCACTCAGACTATGTCAATAACCCCCTATTTGTTCTGCTCAATTCCCTTACTCCTCTATATTCTCTTCAGGACATAAGAACCTTCCAATAGCTTCCTGTTTCATTCCAGACAAATCATCAAACCTTTATAATATTCCCCAAGTTCCTCTGCAGGCTCTTTGATGGGATTTCTTACCACTGTTTCCTTGCTCACCCCTGCTTCAGCCACCTTGTGTGTCTGCATTGGCAAAGTGTTCTGTATGGAGGGTCCTATACAAGCACTTCCTTGACTCACTAAAGATGGTCTTGATTCAAGCCTTTAAACTTATGGTTTCTTCTGCCTACAGCACATTCCCACCAGTTATCTTCATGGCCTGATCCTTTATTCTTTCAAGCCTTTGCTTAAATCTCTAACAGGGATGTCAGTCAAACTACATGAAATAGTCTTTATCCACAGTTACTGCCACCACTGTCACCTCAACTCCTGCATCAACACCAGCATCACTGCCATTGTCCCCACATGACCACCAAGCTTCCTTTTCATTTTTACCCTGCTTTATTATCTGGAGCACTTATGTCACCTCACATTTTTATTTACTTATTGACCTTCTCTCCTCCGGGGAATGTAAACATTGTACTCCTGAAATATTAGCACCAAGAAGTGGGCTGTATTTGTGGTAGGTACTCAATGTTTCATTGAAGAATTCACCATCTGAATCAAATGGCAAGTTCTTTGTAGGCAGGAATAGTAGTAGTACCCTTTCTCCCTGCTTTTGTTTTTATTTACATGGATTACATTTGGTGTATTTTGTTGAATCAATGAGTAGAAAATGATGAAGATCTTTTGCTGTTGATATTCACCGATTATGTACTCCCCTGGTGTCAAACTGATTGTTGTCAGTTTGAATTTCTGTTGAAGATAGGACAGTACAGGAAAACTCCCTCAAATTTGGCTTCGTAGCATCATTGAGTTCCTGCATACTTTACTGTTATATGATCTGAGCCAGGGCATTTTAAAATTTTTACTAGAAGTCTCTCTGTACACTTTGTACACATTCTGAATAGGAGAACGTTTACATAATTCTGTTTTCTTGACTTAGGACCATGTCTGGAAGAAGATTTCGAGAGGCAGTTCAAGCAGTAAGTTAAATATAAAATAAAATTCCAGACGTTCATATTTGGTGAAGAGGAAAGAATTCCCTATGTCTTTTAAATTATATTATTTTCTGATGGCTAGAATGTTATACTTCTTGAAATTAATGGCTAGAGATTAATATGGGTGGTATAAGAACGAGACTTTAAAAATATAAGGGAATTATTATCCAGTTAAATACATATTTTATATGTATTTATGTTTAAATAATGTAAACGTTGATAATAGTTATATGGGTTAAATAGTAAATAATCCCTAAACTTACTATTTTAAACTTTATAAATGGTATAAATAAAATTTATTACATTTTGGGCATTTTGTTTTTAATCTATATTTGTGGTTTCCTTTATATTTGGAAACTATTATAAATAGCATATAAAATGACATAGAAACAGATGTGTTGTTACTTGGAACTTTAAATAACTATCAGGTTAGCCATACATCCCATCCATTCATTATATCTTTTAGGATATTGATTTTTTTAAAAAAAATTTAGGATATTGATTTATTTTAGTAATAACTAGACTTTACGTCTGCAAATGTGATCGTTAAGATGTCCAGAGGTTCACTGACATACCCAACTGTAGTGCAGAGTTATGTTGCTAATTTTTCATCAAGGACTCTGATACATCTGCATTCCTTGGCAGTTTTGCTCATTTCTGAGAAGAGTGTTGTTAAGAGACACACCTTACGATAGAAATTCACATAAGTGATCGCACATTCAGTTCTATATAAAATAGTCTTTACCCATGATACCACTACCATCATCAATCACATCCACACCAGCACCCACACTGGCACCACTTACCCTTGTCACCATAATGATCACCATTCTGTGAGCCATTAGTCTGAGATGATAATAACTTTAAGATGGAGAATAATTTTACTGGACTCTACTTTTTCCTCCTAGGAATTTGCATCTTATGGAATGAAGAATATGACTATTATTATTTCGGGACTGTGCAATGTTTATTCACATTATATTACCACTTATGAAGAATACCAGGTAAAGTAAAAAGTTCTCATCATTTACATGAATTACATTCTGGCCAAGACTGTTGTGTCCTATGTACACTTCCTAAACTTCTGCTATCATGTTTCTGAGGGATGATTTCGTTTTAGGTGGGGAATATAAGCTAATGATCAGCCAGAGGTTGTATTTTGGAGTTTCAGGTTCATCATTTTCAAGTTCAGGTCAGAATTCTAATCTCACTGACTTACACCTTACCTAGAAAAAAAATGACTTTGTCAGGGGTACTGGTAATAAGCTTAAAAATAGCTATCCATAGTGCATTTTGTGCTGTAAGCCTCTGCAGAACCTGGGAAAACTCTGACAACAGCTACTTAGTTACTAGTTAGGCACTTTGCAAATGTAATCTAAGTAATCTGTGCAGTATGTCCTAAAGTAGGGTATTATTATATCTGCAATGAAGATTAAGAAGCAAGGTCCCAGAGAGTTTAGGGGAGCTGGTCTCTAGTGTTGCTTCTTGGTTTACACATAGTCCAGAAAGCAGCCCAAGTACTTTTTAGTTATAGTAAACACATTAAAACAGTCAAGAGTTCTACAACCGATGATTTCTAATACATACCTGCTGCTTATATCATGGTAAACCACACAGATGCACATGGTGATACCAGAAGTGAAATCTACTCTGTGGCCCTCCGTTGGCTTTGCTGAAGGTCCCTGACTTGTAAAAATCCTGTTTATGCCTTTCACCTTTCTGAAACTATAAAACACCTGAGATAATCAACTTCTAAAGAGGAAGGTTTATGACAACTCATAGTCTGTGACTGGGTGGATCCCCTGCTTTTATATCTTTGGTAGGGGTGCTGAAGGGCAATGGCAAGAGTGTGTGGTGGAGCAAAGTCATTCACCTCATGGCCAGGAAGCAAAAATGAGAGAGGAAAAGCTGGGGTCCCACTGTCCACTTCCAAGGCATGCTTGCAATGACCACAAGACCTCCTACTAGGTCGAGCCTCTGAAAGGTTCTACCATCTCCCAAGAGCACCTTGATAGAGACCATTGCTTAACCACATGGAGCTTTAGAGGACATTCCAGATCCAAACTATGGCATTGTTGAATATGGGTTCTTAACTAGGCAAACTAGGAGAGGGATGATTACATTCTTTTTTTCACCATTATTAAGACTGCATATAATAAACAACAATAATATTAGCAAATACCTCTGTTTTTGTTACCAATAGTAATCACAGATCTTTTAATATGACATAAAATGATTGCAGATCTGGAAATATCTTTTATTCCTTTCTCTATTATAAAAGCAGAGTGGTAGCTATTAGATCTTGTGTTTCAATAGCATAACAAAGCATACTGGGTTACAAAATTGGTCATTATAGTTAGATAAATGCATTTTAATCTAATTCATTTCCTTTGTCAATCTCATGTTATTTTATTTTAAAATCACTATTCTAAGAGTGGCCCATAGATCCAACAGTCTGCCAAAGGAGTCTATGGCACAAAGCTGGGAACCCCTACTAGCTTGTCTCCTGGTCCAGGAGATGTGGACCTGCAAGGATTACTATGAAGTCATTAAATAATCAAACAGATAAGTACTGGTAACAGAGGCTGTACTAGTCACTTTCTGGGATATAACAATGAAAAGACTCCGTTCCTGCCTTCAAGACCACTGGAAACTAATATCTAGTAGAAAGAGAACAGATGATCCCATTTCTGTGAAAGGTTTGCACAGGTGATACGAAAACAAGGAGAAAGAGCACTAGTCTAGTGTGTGTATTTGAGGACAGAGACTGGAAGATGTAACATTTTGTCTGAATTATTGAGAAAAAGTGAGTGTTCGCCAAACAAATAAAATTAGGAAAGTGTTCTATATTGAAGGTAGTGAACACGCAGAGAACCAGAGGGACAGACTTAGAACATTAGTGGACCATAATTAGTGAGTGTCTTGGAGTAAGTATGTTGAGGGTGGTGGTGAGACAAGGGCTAGGACGGGGGCAGGGGTTAGTTGATGGAGAGTCATCTGGTTAGTGCAGCACAACAGAGCTTTGGCTCAGTAAGGAAGGTTCTGGGGAAATGCAGTAGGATTCAAGCAAAGGAATGCTTCAGTCTATTCTGTGATTTAGAAAGGACACAGGATAACAATATGGAGAATGAATGTGAAGGCCACGTATAGAGACACAACTGATTATGAAGTTGTAGCTAAGATCTGGAAAGAGATGTGGGTTTTGTACAAGAATTGAAGGCACAGGAAAATGGACAGACTCAAGAAGTTTTAAAAGAGGGAGAATGACATGATTTGGAGTCTTAGAGGATGTAGGATGAAGGAGAAAGAAGAGTGTAAGTTGACTATCAGAGGATCCTTGTGTGAGAATCTGGAAGGATGGCATTCATTGGGATGCAGAAAGTTGCCAGGAAGACTGGTGGGTCTGGAACGCTGTGTGCCCTTTTGGATTTGATGACATTGAGGGTCTGTGGAACAACCAAAGGCCTGGTGCTCAGGTAGAGAGAGGGCCTTTTGACTCTCATTCTTAGTGCTGCTTGGGTTAAAATTCCTTCTCCAGAGAGGACTGTTAATACCTAATTGATCCAGGAGTTACTATAACTATTTTAACCCTATTTTTTTTTCTCCTGATGTGTGCCCTTGGGAAAATCACTTCACAGACACAAGCTCAAGAGCTGGCACCCTCTTTCAGATTGAATGGAGTGGTAATATCAATGGTATAAGCAGAGATATTAATGGTCATTAATGGCCTTTTTAATTAATTTTTTTATATATGACAGTGGAATGGATTACAATTCATATTACCCATATAGAGCACAATTTTTCATATCTCTGGTTGTATACAAAGTATATTCACACCAATTTGTGTTTTCACACATGTACTTTGGATAATGATGTTCAACACATTCCACCATCATTTATGACCCCCTGACCTCTCCCTTCCCCTCCTACCCCTCTGCCTTGGTCTTTAATGAGTAGTTTATGAGACCCATTTACTTGGGCTGGTAAATGGAAATGCCCACATTCTTTTTTTTCTAAATAATATTAAAGATGAGGCTGGTTTTGAATAATGTGGATATTCAACCTAAAATGTTACACCTCTGTGAATGGTTTGTTTGAAATGTGCAGAACTGTCTACACCTCTGCTTGCTTCTGCAGGCTCAGCGGTATGAAGCAGCATCTACAATTTATGGACCACATACTCTGTCTGCTTATATCCAGCTCTTCAGAGGCCTTGCCAAAGCCATTGCAACTGTAATTAAATGCCCCCCCTCCGTGTGTGTGTGTGTGTGTGTGTGTGTGTGTGTGTGTGTGTGTGCCTCATGGGGAGGAGGTATAGAGGGAGGAAAGAGAAAATATTACCTTCACATGTTCAGTTTCTTTGACAACCTTTATATTAAACAAAAAGTGCATCTACCTGAAATACATACAGGGTTCCCTACAAGAAACATAGCTTTGTGATATTTCTTAAGAAAAAAACCAACATTTTACTGATAGTAAAATTCAAATTCAGTTAACATCTTTAGTGGCGGCAGCTTTTTCTTATATTTAATTTTTTCATTCTCACAATCATCATGAGAAGAAGATATTGTTTGCTTTCATTTTTCAGATGAGCAAAAAGGCTCATAAGTCTCAGGCCTACTATAATTATATTTGGATGTTGGACCAGTGCTCTGTTATCCTTGCCAGATTCTCTGACTCACTTCAAGAGTTGAGTAGTACATCAATTGTAGGATGCCAATTTTCCACATTATAACATCTCTAAAACTGGGGTGTATCTTCCAATCAGAGAAATCTTACCATTATAATTAATAGCACTTGTTTTTTACTATCTTGGTGATTAAAAACATAATATAGGTCATTATTGTGAGTGGATGCTTAGATTTTATGAAATACAGTATCACCTTGGGATGCACACTACCTTGGAAGTGCATCTACCTGAAATACATACAACTGAACAAGTTTACTTAAATTTAAAGAAACTTTAATTGTGGAAATTGTTCTTTTGGGATACAGTTAATTGTGAAGCTGCACCTGTGGTATACCAGATTAGTCAACAAGTAGGGTAAAGATTTTAAATGATCATTAGACCCTTATATAATAACATACAAGCCTCTATAAAAGCTGTGAAATGATTGTGGTGAAGCACAGACAATAAAGCCTTTTGAAAGAAAGAGCTTGGATATATGATATAGGAATAGATGACATTGCTGTCCTGTAGGTACAATTGGTCGAATATTGGCACTTTCATATGCCTCTGCCATTTGTTTCTCATTGTGTATAAAAATTTCTGCATGTTGTGTTTACTTTGCATGTCTTTAGTGGCATACACCTGTAATCCCAGCAGCTTGGGAAGCTGAGACAGGAGGGTTGCAAGTTCAAAGCCAGCCACAGCAATGGTGAGGCAATAAGCAACTCAGTGAGACCTTGTCTCTAAATAAAATGCAAATTAGGGCTGGGGATGTGGCTCAGTGGTTGAGTGCCCTGAGTTCAATCCCTGGTACTCCACCCCTAAAAAATTACTTGATTTTTATTTTATCATAGTTTCTCAGTTGAATTGTGTTACTGATGTAAAATTATTTGTACTTTCACTTTTTATTATAAAAGCTGAAACTACTTGTGGAGTATTTAAATTATATAAAAATATAAACCTATAACCTATCCTTAGAAAGAACTATTGGGTAACTTTGGTTGTAGCCAGAGATTTCTAGTTCTCCTCACAGAAACAAATTCTTCAATTATGGAGATTATTTAGTGAAGAAAACTAGTTCAGTCTGTGAAAATTTGATCTCCTTTACAGTAGCACATTTAAGAATACCTATGTGATCTTGAAAAAATGACTGTCTGCAAGTCTATTTTCTCACTTTCAAAATGAGAATGGTAATACATACCTGTCCCATATTGCTGTTGTAAAGATAAATACACATTGTGAAGGTTAAATAACATTAAATATATACCAAGAGCTATTAAGTTTGAGATTCACATTCTGAGGAAACTATTAGAAATGGTAAATTTTGTGGAAAAGAGGTTAAACCAGTGAGGATGTCAACTGATCTTAAATTTTGAAATTAAAATGTGTTTATTATTTTCTTTAATTGTTATAGACAAAAATTCAGAAGGAAAATTGGTACTGACTCTAGGAGAGTTTCAACACGTTTTGTAGATTCAGAGAACAATTCCAGTGTCATGTTATGAAGGCTTATCATGTGTGAAGCTCTTGTCCTAAGGCCACACAATTTAAAAATGGCTGCCCCAGAATCTAAACTTGAGTATTGTGCTTACAAGCTTCCTCTCTGATCCCTGTACTACACTTCTCAGGGGAATAAAACAGAAACCTCTGACCAAAACTTTCTTCTAATGGCAAAATACAAATGATGGTCATCCAGGCTCACATTTTGTTAAAGGTCGTTAGGGGTGTGTGTGTGTGTGTGTGTGTGTGTGTGTGTGTACGCACGCACTTCCTTTAATGAAAGCATTATTTCTGGAGATAGATGTCTAAAAGGATCTTTGATTCCACATTGTGTTCCTTAAGCAAATGCTCTCTGTTTCAGGATACAGTCGCCAACATGAGCAGTGGCCCAGAGCCTCCATTTTTCAAACAACTGATGATCCCACTGATTCCTAATATTGAGGATAAACCACCAATAGGCAGAAATTTTGGGGATGTCCTAGAGCCAGTGAAACCTAAATACAGAGTGGTAAGACTCAGAGAGATGTTTTAAAATATTTAAGAGACATGTTTTTGGAGGTGAAGGGAAGGATATAGTTTAATATTACCACCTGCTACTAATCATACCATAGGGCAGCTTTACCAGTGATCATTTTGAGAGTTATTTTCTGTAGAGACTCTGTAAGTAAATAATGTAAGTAAAGAGAATGGGAAAGTTTTTATTTTCTGGGGGTAATTATGTAAAATTAGATTTCTATACTATAAATATTATTTTTTTCTTAAATGGATGGTGAAAGAACCATTCGCAGGCGCTGAGAGAATATGTCTTTTAAATCAAGCGTATGGAAATGAAGCAGGATCTTTGCCTGTGCGTTTTATGTTGATTGTGTGCTCTACAGAGTCTTGCTAAATCATTTCCAATAGGTGGGTTTTCTTGTTTGTTTGTTTGTTTTTGGTGTGGATTCCTTAGGAATTTCAACATATAGTAACATGTCAATTTTTTTAAAAAATAGCTCTGTGTATGTTTTCTGGATGTCTTCACTTTTTTTGTTTGTTTTTTTTTTGTTGTTGTTGTTGAATGGTCTAAAACCTTGAAATACAAGGTTGAATAAAGTTGTGAGAATGAACATCCTTGCTTTGTTTCTGATCTTAGGTGAAAAATATTCAGTGTTTCCCTCATTTAATATGACACTTTCTTTAGGATTTTTGTAGATGACCTTATCAGGTTGAGATAGTTCTCTTTGATGCTTTACTTGTTCAAATTTTTACTTGTGGTGGGTTTTGGATTTTTGCAGATGCTACTGTGGTGATTATGTTTTGTTTTGTTTTTGCTTCCTACTCTATTAAAATGGTATATTGCACTAACTGATTTTCAGATATTAAATACTCTTTCATATGGCATATTCATGCTTTTTCCTGTTGCTGATACTAACTTGCTGATATTTTGCTAAGGAGTTTTATATCTTTACCCATGAGGGATATTTGTAGTTTTCTTTTGTGCATTGTCTTTGTCTGCAGAGGTTGCAAAGAACAAATTGGATAGCATGTCCTCTTATATTTTCTGGAAAAGCATGAAGAAGATTATTTATATCATTTCTTGTGTGAATATTTGATTATATTTATCTGCAAGAGTCTATGGAATTGGGCTTTTATTTATGGCAATAATTTTAATTACTTATTTAATTTCTTTACTTGTTATAAGCCTACTCAAATATTTTATGTTTTTTCCTTTGAGTCTATTATAGGTCTTCCCTAGAATTTAACTTTCTTTTTAGTAATCTTTATCTTTCTAGCAATTTCCATTTGTCTAGAAACTTTCCCACTTTGTTTATGTTGTTTAAGTTGTTGCTACAATATAAAATTTGTTGTTCATAATATTCCCTTATAATCCTTTTAATTTTTCTAGGGTTGATAATGTTGCCTCCTATTTCTTCCTGATTTCAGTAATTTGTGTCTTCAAAGAACTAGATTTTAGTTGTATTGCTTTTATCTATGGTTTTACTTTTTACTAAGCTTTTTAGGAAGGGCCAGAAAAACTTTTAGTCTAGGGCAAATCCATTCTCCCCTACCCCTCACCCTATCCCACTGAGGTAAAACTCTTCTTAATTATAAAGTTTTCTAATCTGGTTGATGGAAACAGAACTTTTTACATACAACTCCATGTGAACCTGGGGATTCTTCCACCTAATTCTTTCAGGTGAATCTTTTCTGGCTTCAGGTAGCTCCCTTGCATGCTTGTGCACTTAAACTATGCCTTCTGCAAATTTTGAGTTCTCACCCTTCCCTGCCCCATTAACTCTCCTTTCTATGGTACTCTGCTCTCTGGTACTCTATGCTGTGAACTTATTCAGCCTTCCTGAATTCCCTCCTCCATACCTTCAACATAGGTAGACTCCCTGGCTTGACTTGAATTTCTTTTTGTGTCATGGCTTTTAAACTCTGAAGGCACTAACTTGGAGCAATTGTTTAAAGAATAATAATAATAAAGAAGAGACAAGGCACAGAGGCAGGGAAGTTGGCAGAGTGGTGTCCAAGCGGCCACGCTTATTTATACCAATAGGTTACATTAGGTCATTAGTACCATAACCACATTATT